AAAACAATACTCATAAAAAACAATGTTTTGAGTGCTTATTGGTGCATATAATAACAAGCTGTATATTGGGAGCTGTGTATATTGTATATTGGGAAGTGTGATATATTACAAAACAGTAGGGGTGCCAATTAAGGGTGGTATATATAATGCTTAAAAACAGTAGGAGGAACTACCATATCTGTTTCAAGAATGTCTGTCATTAAGTATTAAAGCTGTAGATCAATTAAGTCAAAGGATTTATTGAACTCCAAATTTTTTTAGGCTAAATATGTAGTCAATGAAAAATAAACAAATAAAGAAATATAATTCAACACCCTGATTAAAATTTTTAGATTTTTTTTTCCCCCAAAAAAAACTCAAGCTTATTTTCATACAATTTGACCCATTTAATTATTGTTAATAAAGTGAAAGAAACTTGTAAGTAAAGGATATGATTAGGATTCCTGTAATGAAAAAGTTGGGATAATTGTGAAAATTATTCTGTAAATAAACCCTTCTCAAATTATTTTGCACCTATAAATTTTATTGAATGACAAGTTAGTTCATTAAGTTAAGCAGTTCATGTACACTAAAACATTTACACAGAGAATTATTAAAAGTTAGAAATAATGAGATTATGATACTGAATCATAATGAAATCTTTGGATAATGCTGCTAACATTCCACATTAATTTACTTAAAATTTCATCAAATCTATAGAACTTAATTGCAACAATTTAAAATCTTATATTTTTTAATGAAAATTTTTAATTGTGTATAATTTATTATCCCCCGCCGAAAAGGCGGCAGGGGATAATATAGAAATAGTCTCCGTCCGTCCGTCCGACATTTTTGTCCAGAGCATATCTCAAAAAGTATTTGAGATATCAACTTGAAACATCATAGGTGGATAGACCTCATTGAGGAGGAGTGCAGTGCACAAGAATGATAACTCGACCTTGCATAATTTTTGAGTTAATGCCCTTTGTTATTTTTCAAAATTAATTTTTGTCCAGAGCATAACTCAAAAAGCCTTTGAGATATCAACATGAAACTTCATAATTATGTGCATAGATCTTACTCAGGAGGTGTGCAGTGCACAAGAATAATAACTCTACCTTTCATAATTTTTGAGTTATTGCCCTTTGTTATTTTTCATACTTATTTTTTCACCTGAGTGGAGCATAACTCAAAAAGTATTTGAGATATCAACATGAAATGTCATAGGTGGATAGATCTTATTGAGGAGGAATGCTGTGCGCAAGAATGATAACTCTTCGCTATATAATTTTTGAGTTATTGCCCTTTGTTCTTTTTCATACTATTTTGTCCGGAGCTTATCTCAAAAAGTATTTGAGGTTTCAACTTGAAACTTCATAGGTGGATGGATCTCATTGAGGAGGAGTGCAGTGCACAAGAATGATAACTCTACCTTGCATAATTTTTGAGTTATTGCCCTTTGTTATTTTTCAAAATTAATTTTTGTTCAGAGCATAACTCAAAAAGCCTTTGAGATATCAGCATGAAACTTCATAGGTGCATAGATCTCACTCAGGAGATGTGCAGTGCACAAGAATGGTAACTCTACCTTTCATAATTTTTGAGTTATTGCCCTTTGTTATTTTTCATACTTAATTTTTCACCTGAGTGGAGCATAATTCAAAAAGTATTTGAGATATCAACATGAAATGTCATAGGTGGATAGATCTTATTGAGGAGGAATGCTATGCGCAAGAATGATAACTCTTCACTATATAATTTTTGAGTTATTGTCCTTTGTTCTTTTTCATACTATTTTGTCCGGAGCTTATCTCAAAAAGTATTTGAGGTATCAACTTGAAACTTCATAGGTGGATAGATTTTACTGAGGAGGGGTGCAGCACACAAGAATGATAACCTACCCTGCACTATTTTTCAGTTATTGCCCTTTGTTATTTTCAGCCATCAGTATTCACATAGGTTTCAAATCTGTAATCACTTCAGTCATAAGTTTTCATTACCAAAAGACCTCTTAAAATTGAATTATTCTGCTCTACTATATTACATTCTTCCAATGAGCAAACCCATTCAGCAGGGAATGGCCATGTTGACATGGCTCTTGTGTATTTAGTAATGAGAAATTCATGCTTGCATATGTTTCAATCTGAAAACTTCTTATTTGCTTCACACTGTATCATATCTTTTACAAATATAAATCTTATTATTTAACTAAAGTACTTTGTGAATAATTTCATGCATAGAAAGGTACCGTTGGTATGAGATTCTCTCTTTAACGTTAATGCATTATCTGGAAACAAAGATTCTTTTATTCAATAAGCAATGTTTTTATTTTATTCCAAACATTTCAGTGTTCATTCAAATGTAAGATAAATGGAAGAAAACTAAGTCAATGAAACTTTTCATTGTGAAAAGGAAATAGTAAGAAACTACATAATTGTCGGGTATTTCTACATTTTTCTCATAATTTGTTCAATTATTTTACATTAATTGTACTATACAAAGCATAATACTCTTATAAATTTTATTACTTTAGTATAAAACCAAAAAAAGTATGAATATGAGCTTTAAACATCTAGTGTAACATCCGTCCCCCCAAAAATGTAACATCCGTCCCCCTGATACAATTCATTTTTGGATTATCTGACAAGAAATATGCATACGAAAGTCCTATAGTTTCTACTGTTAAATAAGAAATGTGTTTGCATATTTGATTCAAGTATAATTTGGTGTACCTATCCTTGTTTTTTTCATGCCCCCACAAAGTGGGGAGCATGTAGCGTTGCATTTGTCCGTCCTTCCATATGTCTGTCCGAGCAAACATTTGATATTTATGAGCTTCATTCCGTAGTTAAATAAAGAACAAAAACTCATAAAATTCAAATTCAGAGCTATTTTTTTGTTTTTATGAGCTAATTTAGCTTATGGACTTACTTCCAGGTGTAGTTTATGAGCTGATTTGCCTCTTAAATATCAAAAGTTGGTACGTCCATCTGACGTCCCGAAATCTTGTGAACGCAACTCCTCTTAAACCGGATGGCAGATTTTGCATAAACTTCCAGGGATGAACAACCTTAATGTGTAGATGGTATCAAAGGAAGGCATTTTTGCTGCGACCAAATTTAACAGAATTATGGCCCTTTGTTGATTTTTTCACTATATACCATATAGAAATTTTGTGAACGCAACTCCTCTTAAACCGGATGGCAGATTTTGCTTAAACTTCCAGGGATGAACAACCTTAATGTGTAGATGGTATGAAAGGAAGGAATTTTTGCTGCGACCAAATTTAACAGAATTATGGCCCTTTGTTGATATTTTCACTATATACCATATAGAAATTTTGTGAACGTAACTCCTCTTAAACCGGATGGCAGATTTTGCTTAAACTTCCTGGGATGAATGACCTTAATGTGTAGATGGTAGTAAATGAAGGAATTTTTGCTGTGACCAAATTTAACAGAATTATGGCCCTTTGTTAATTTTTTCACTATATACCATATAGAAATTTTGTGAACGCAACTCTTCTTAAACCGGATGGCAGATTTTGCTTAAACTTCCAGGGATGATTTTTAGTTTTGTTAGAGTAATTGCCCTTGAATTACAGTAGTATAAATTTGCAATTTTCAACTTGTTCATGCATAGCTCAAAAGGTATTTCACTTGTAGGCCTGAAAGTTGACTTAGTTGCTAACACAATTGGCCCATTTACTGTGCAGCAGGCAATGTAGAATTCTCTCTGTCATGTGCGAGGCTAGACTCGCTTTTCTTTGAAAATCCATTTTGGGGACAAATTCACCAATTTTGGTGCCAGATTGCTCAATTTTCAGGGCCGCATTGACCAACTTGAAATAATGGAGTGCCATATTGACCAATTTAGGGCCGGGTTCTTCAAAACTTATACATGCATAGAAGGATTTTAATATAACTTGGCACAAATGTTCACTATAGTGAGGCGGAATGTCGCATGCAATATTCAGGTCTGTGTGGCCAAGGTCAAGGTCACACATAGGGGGTCAAAGTTCAGATGTAGATATGAAAATGTGTATTTGGACAGGGATTTTTTTTTTTTGGCTTATTTTATAGCTGATATTTGGTCATATTCCCAATTGGAAATAGTATATTATTTCCCAATCCAGAGGAAAATATTTCCAATTGAAAGTTACAAAATAAAAAATATTGAATAATAAATTCTTAAATCTTTTAAAATAAGTGCTTCTTCACTGTTATGGTGTTTAAATGTTTGTAGGTGCCATCCTAGACAGTTAATCTGTGCATTCATTTAATCACTGCAAAATTTAAGTCATGGAGTTTTTCCCAATTTTTAACAAATCATTGCTGAAATTCCCAATTCCATGGGTATGGGTCACGTTCCCTAAGTCCTGGAAAAAAAACCTGTTGGACCATTTAGTCATCATTTATTGAGGGATTGAAACGCAAATTGTCATTATCATGACTACTGGTGTGAAACATTTAATTTAGGTTAATATAGTCAAGGTCACTAAAGATGATAAAAATCAAAATATTAACATATTGCCTAGAGCCAAACTTCTACATTTATCAGGGATTTAATGTAACTTGGCACAAATGTTCAACATTTTGAGGCTAAGTATTGTGTGCATAATCAAGTCCCTGCTACCAAAGTCAAGGTCACATAGAGAGGTCAAAGTTAAGATAAAACAGAAGATGTGTACAGGGACCATTTAGTCATCATTTATTGATGGATTGTAACACAAATGATAACTATCATGACTACAAGTTTTAGGTTAATATTTGCAAGGTCACTAGAGATGATAAAATATCCAGATATTGTCCGGATATTGCCCATAGCATATCTCCAATATGCATATATATAAGCCCACATCTCTGTCAAAAGCTTTTGTGATGCAGACAGGCGTATTTTGCGACGATGTTGCCCCTGTTTGGTACTTCATTTAAAGTTCACCAATTTTTATGGATTGTTTGTTTTTTTTGGCAAAAATTATCAAGTTGATATCTTTTTTATTTTTTTTTATTCTTTTTTAGGTTGAAAAGATAACAAAAGAAAGTTTAAAAAATGCTAATAACAAGAAACTGAAGGACAGAGAAGTTAAACTAAAGGCAAACTTTCGCAGGTAAGAAAAAAGTTTCTTTAGTTGAAAGTTACCAAAAATCGATAGGATTTTAAAATAAATTGATATAAACATAACTAATAGATCTACTTGTAATTGCATTCCTACCAACTTCCATATAAAATTGTTATCATAGAAAATATTTGATGAAGCCTCTATAAACAAAGATATAAATTTTTAACTTTAGATAATTGATTTCTGTCTGCATATAATGCTGATAAACAATGTTTTGTTTTGCAACTTGTCACACAATAAATTACAGAACATTAATGTAAATGAGTAATTGTACATAAAGACTGATGTCTGATAAATTTTTAGACATTGATTTTCAATGAGTCTCTGGTTAAATTTGCTAATATAGATATTTTTGCTATAATTATGTGACTTGCACTAATTATTTATTATTATAGTTGCTATGAGCTCAAACCCCAGATCACAGAATTGCTACAGAGGGCCGAGGAATTGACTGAGGTATAAAATTGGAACTTGTTTTTTTCCTAAATATTTCTTCTATATGTACATGTATCTTGGAATTCTTCCCTTTGACATTGATTGAATTACTTTGCAAAGAAGTGCCATTAGATAAATAATAAGGTACAATAAAGTTGAAATTGATAATGTTGATTATAGTGATGATGATTATAAAATAGTTTTTTTTTTTAAATCAGTTGTTTTTTTTGGGGGGGGGGGGGGGAGTGAAATTTTGCTTGTAACCCTTATTGTGCTGGAACAGAAAGTGATAAGCATTTTCCACTAGTATAGAGCTATATCAGTCTGCACTTATGTGCCATGTGACGAGGCTGACTTACAGTAAAATTTCATCTTGATATCCCTAAAATTGATAATGGATAGATCCAAAAATGGAAGCTGGACAAGTCCATTACATAATATCAGTGGGTTTAGATGTAAAACACTTTTTTACTGTTTAAAGGATTTATAACAATTTTGTTAAAACTGTAGATTTATCCCTTTATTATTCCTTATTGTTGACCATTTAAAATTCAACTTGATTCTATTGTTCAAGTGATAAATTTGAAAATTATTTAGGAAAAGTGCAATTTTGAAAAAAATGAATAAAGATACTTTTAAAGTACATGTCTGGGTGTAAAAACCAGTATGAATTATATATATTCTTTGTTTTCCATATACCACCATTTTCTTTGTAATGATTTACATAAAATTCATTGAGATATTGTTTTTCAGGAGAATGAAGGGCCCAAAGTTAAAAATTTTGAACAGAAGAAGAAAAAAGAAACAGATAGAATAACAACATGGCAGGTTAGTGATATTATATAATGAAAGACTGTCATAACATGTTATGATACTTGGTAGTTGATTTGTATTTTATCCTAAACATTTTCCAGTATGAACTGTTGGTCAATCACCATTATAAAAGTCAATACAGTCAAATGTGTATTAAGCGACTGCGCAAGGGAAACTCCCAAAACGGTCGCTTAATGAAACGGTCTCTTAAGACAAAGCCTGATAATTTATACATGACATCTTTCTTTTGTGGTGGGAATGTTTTTCAACTTCATTTATATGACTTAGAATGCTCCGATAATCTAAATGGATGCTAATGTAAAAATTACTTTCTGATATTTATTCACAAAACAGTTTTGATCCATTGTGTACATGTTTGACATTCTTCCAGAATTTTTAAACTTTTCTGTTGTTTTTCCTTGTCTCCAACACGAAAACCCTAATAAGTGAAGATGTTTTCTGTTGTGCGTTTTTATTTAAAAAAAAAACTTCATATATTTGTTACGATTAATTTAATTGCTGATTAAGTTCAAGGTCAATTCAATGCAATCTAAATGGGTATAGAGTTTTTATTTACTCATGATGTTTTCATATGAGTATTATGGTATTAAGCAAAAACCAATTAGATGTAGAAACCTAGTTGAAATATGAAATATAAAGACATTGTGCTTAAGTATCAAGACATAAAACTTGGTAAAAATTTAGCCTAAATTTGTAAACTTTATCTGAAATATCTAACAGTTTAGCTTGTTGGATTACAACTGAAGTATTTACAGATTTAGAAATGTAAAGATCAACTGGTGTAACATGTGCATAAAATATGAAGTCTTTAGCTAAAGTGTGTGGAAATTTAGCTGAAATACGAAGAAAATTGAAGTGCATGTATGAAGAAATTTAAAAATATAAAATTCTACCTATTTAACATATTCAGAAATTTATTAAACCATGTTCAAATTATTCATATTCTATAACAACGTATTTATTTCAGACCCAGGTTGATGATGCTATGGCTAAAGTCCTCCCTGATGAGGAAGGAACAGCATATTTGAAGTAAGTTTTACATTTTTAGAACTACAAAGTTAGACACTTGAGCAGGACACTGCTTTGTTTGCTTTTAGCTTGACCATTTAAAGAAAAGAGAGCACCTGAAAAACTACTAAAGGGTTCACACACTTATTTTAAAGCATTATAGGTCACTGACCAAGGCCCATAACTCTAACATAGACTTTGACAGAAATATTGCCCTTTTTGAACTAGGAAAATTCTACATTATCCCAGGCCGTTGTTTTACTATCAAGCACAAAGAATAGTCGAGCACACCAAAAGCTCTTGTTTAAGTTTATACTTATTAGAAGTGCGGTAATGAACCATATGGTTTAGACCTATGGCATCCTTGCCAGTCCCCTGCTGTAGCCTCTTCGTCATGATGCTCTGCTCTGCCTTAATCCTGTACATGGTTTGTAGATGGAAAAGGTGTACAATTATACTTTCAAGGGATGTTCTTTATGAAACAACTTTTTCTAGGGGCAATCCTCTCAAGTTAGTCAAGGTAGGTCAACCAATCATCCCAGGTACTTAGGATGACTTAATTTTGACATGCTGTGTGCCTTCTCTGCAACATGCACACATAGAAAGAGAGTTGGAGAAGAAGACACTACTGTATCTGTTTGATTATTGATATGCAGTTACAGATTTGACACTAGTAGCTTAAAATTGCTTCTGATTAGGGATTACATCATAATTATCCAATTTAAAAGATGCATTTTAAATGTTTACGCCTCTTTCATGAAACTGGCTTAATTAGGACTGGTACTGAAACCCTTAAGTTGACTGGAAAAGTAGTCTTTATTACTTAGTTATGTAGCCAATATATTTTGAATACTGTCATGAGAAAACTACCCCTTACATCATTTACAAAGAATTCAATATGTCAAGTAAAAAAAATTAGGGATGTTATGGCCGTTTTCTCATGCCAATTATCAGTTACATAAGACTGTATATCAGTATAATGTACATGTCATTTCCATTGATGTACAGGTATATTTTGTTTTTAAAATAACATTTAATTTTAAATCTTCATCAGAGAGTTAAAAAAGGAATTAGGAGAAGGTGATGAAGATGAGAAGGGTGATGATGATGATGAGGAGGAGGATGATGAGGAGGAGGAAGAAGAGGAAGAAGAAGATGAGGAAGATGATGAGGAAGATGATGAAGAAGGTGATGAGACTGCTGGGGAAACTTTAGAGACGCCCAAGAAAGGTAAGGAGAAAATTGTTAGAAATATTGTTTTTGTGCCCCCACGTTAGTGGCGGGCATTTAGATTTACCCTTGTCCGTCCGTCCGTCTGTCCGTCCGTCTGTTCACTTTTGTGTCGCACGTAACTCAAAAAGTATTTGACATAGAGTCATGAAACTTTACAGGAATGTTGATCAGCATGTGTAGTTGTGCACCTGGGTATTTTCATCTGGATATTTTTAGTATTTTCAGAGTTATTGCCCTTGACTTAGTAAAATTTTGCAATTTTCAACTTGTGTCGCACGTAACTCAAAAAGTATTTGACCTAGAGTCATGAAACTTTACAGGAATGTTGATCAGCATGTGTAGTTGTGCACCTGGGTATTTTCGTCTGGATATTTTTAGTTTTTTCAGAGTTATTGCCCTTGACTTAGTAAAATTTTGCAATTTTCAACTTGTGTCGCAAGTAACTCAAAAAGTATTTGACCTAGAGTCATGAAACTTTACAGGAATGTTGATCAGCATGTGTAGTTGTGCACCTGGGTATTTTCGTCTGGATATTTTTAGAATTTTTAGAGTTATTGCCCTTGACTTAGTAAAATTTTGCAATTTTCAACATGTGTCACACGTAACTCAAAAAGTATTTAACCTAGAGTCATGTAACTTTACAGGAATATTGATCAGCATGTGCAGTTGTGAACCAGGTATTTTCGTCTGGATTTATATAGTATTTTTAGAGTTATTGCCCTTCACTTAGAAAATTTTTGCAATTTTCAACTTAAGTCGCAAGTTTCTCAAAAAGGATTTGACATAGTTATTAAACCTTATGGGCAGGTTGCTCAGCATATTTTAGATTTGCACCTGGGGTTTCGCTTGTGGATTTATCCAGTATTTGTAGAGTTATTTCCCTTGACTTAGTAAAAAGATTGACAGAACAGTGGCGCGGTGGGGGCACCCGTGTCCTATGGACACATTTCTAGTTGTAGTCATCAATGAAGCAGTTTAGCACATACATTAGAGCGTCATTTTTAAGCCTGCTTTCAAGTCTTGCCAGTACTTGTGGACAAGTAGTCTCAGATTGAAAAATGGACCTCTTAATTTTTTAGGCCATACATTTTATATACTCCTTTCCAAAGATATAAATTAATGTCAGTTCATTAATGTTAACATAAATTATATATTAATGTCTGTTTTTGTAGAAGGCAATATTTTTGTGGTAAGAGATAGGGAATACATGGTTGATGTTGAGATGGAGAAGGTTTATCCAGTGGGCGATAAAGTGTATCTTGACAAGCTTTAGCGAGCCAAGATTCACTTTTGCATTGAACCGGATAAAACTTTCTCTATCGCGACATCAACCAAATATTTGATTTATCCTACTTTGGTCATACTTTTAGATTACTTAAATGGTTTTGTTCATACGTTTTCCCAATAAAACAGGATCTATATGTAGTTTTGTTTTGCTGCTAACCATGTGATGTCATCATATGACATAATGACTGGAGATAGACAAGTTTATCTGGCAATAAAGCTGATAAAATAGACAGTAGACAACTGTCTTGTTGGTTAACTTACATGGAAAATGAAGGATTCAGCTGGAAACCTTCGCATACAAAATACTATTTTAAAGAAAATTGTCTGCTTTTTTCCTTTTAAAGTATCAAAAACAGAAAAAGGTAAACCAGGTGAAGATGATGATGAAGAAATTGAAGAAGAAGTTGATGAAGAAGAAGAAACAGAAGGAGAGGAGGAAGTTGAAGAAGAGGAAACAGAAGAGGAAGAAGATGAGGAACAAACAACTCCTAAAAAAATAGTTCCAAGGTATTTGCTCTTTTTAAACATTGATCCATTGGTTTAGCAACATCTTCCAAAAAGAGGAGAATGATATTAATATTTGAAAGAATTGTTTCTTCAAAATGTTGATATTGGATCTGTGGAATTAAGACCTTGGTTGAGTATAAATGACATTAGCTTTGTGCAATTAGGTGCTTGTTGGGGGTGTATATGACATTGGATTTGTGGATTTAAGACCTTGGTGGGGAATTACTTCTTTTCATGTAATGACTGAGTTAAGAAAGATTTTATCTGACATTGCTGTTTTAGATAATTTATGCTTACTTGCAGTAAATATAGTTATTATTTGACAGAATCCATAAACACTGATTAGATAATTGCTGCTGGTAGTATATGACTGAAAGGCTGTTATTGGTATACCAGAGAACAAGGATATTACCATGTACTGCCTTCATTTAAAATTTTTCCACAGAAAAATGAAGAAAAAGTGTAAAAATCACATTGTCAGCATTTACCATTTTGACGTTTTTAGCAACACCAATCCTGTTACCTTTCAGTTTATCCACAATTCGAATTGACATATATAGCAAAGGTTTTCATGTGAGCACTAAAACTGTTTTGGATTCCTTGTTTACCAAATGAATGAATTGCTTCTGTATGATAATTCTACTCCTTAAAATAGTTTCCTTGATAAGACTAGCAAAGCAAAAAAACAACAACTAGAAAACATCATGATTGATAGATGCATTAACAACATTTTCATAACCTAATGTACAGTTACCATTGATTGATATTCATTCTTTAAATTGACAATATAGTAAGACAGAACCAAAAACTGCCAAGAAGACTGAAGAAGAAGACGATGATGATGATGAGGAGGAGGAGGATGAAGATGATGAGGAAGAAGATGATGATGAAGAAGATGAAGATGAGGAAAGTGATAAGGAAGAAGGAGATCTAGAAGTTACTACTACTGTAAGCATACTTTAAGGAGCTACACTGAGGTCAAAAAGGCTGAAACATAAAATTTGAAATTCTTACATAATTCAAGAGAAACACTTAAAATAGAAATATCTGCAAAGGATAACAAAGAAATTCGAATTGTATTGATTATCATTTTTTTATGAGATCTTAATCCCGATATCAGGGTCATTTTGTGCAATAAAAAATGACAATGCTGGAAAATCTAGGCAAGGGAATGATCAGAAAATTTGTATGTCCAGTCCCTTCATGTCAAAAAACCTCAGTTGAGTCTATTTGATGTTTAAATGATACCATTAGAAACTTCCAGTTCATAAATATGTTAAGTGGTTTTGCTCAATTTTTCACATTGTGACAGTAAAAGATTCTAATGCTGGTGTTATGTAAATGGTTCGTAACTGTGAATACCAAAAACAAAATTGATTTCATTGAAGTCTTGATTTCTTAGAAATGATACTGGATTAGTGTCTTATCTATAACTTAGCCAGGCCAGGTGCTTATTATCTACTTCATAGTAATAAGTGAAAAAAAAATTGTTTTATAACAGTATATAATAACTTCCATGTTTATGAGATGGATTGAAAAAAGATGCAAATTACTCTTTTTATTAACTCATTCTTAGTTCATTGAGTTATTGGTGTTGAATAAGGTTCTTGTATTTTAATATTATAATATCATATCATAATATATATATGTATATTATCATTTCTTTTATCAGTGTTGTATTATTCTGTGGACAAATACTTTGTGTGTATTTTAAGCCCGACTATTGGAAGAACAGGGTGAGATAATGTACTCACCCTGGCATCGGCATCACAATTTTGTCAAGATTTTGTGTGCAAGTTGGTAACTCCAAACTACTGAAAAGAATGGGTGGAAACTTCACACACTTATTTTCTATGATTATCTAAGGTGATGAGCACAGGTCACATAACTTTTAGTCACATTTTAACAGAGTTATGCCCCTTTTCTTACTGTCAAGTACTAAGTATATTCAAGTGTACTTTCTTACGGACAGCTCTTGTTAATAAAAGAAATCATTGCTTAATTTAGTGTGTTGAAAAAAATGAAGATACAGAAGTTCAAGAATAATGATATAAATTTTTGTTTTGTTTGTGCAGGGTCGATTATTTGAAGCCATATATGACTTTTCCAGTAAAGAGAAAGGTGATCTTAATTTCAAAGCTGGAGAAGTACTTACTATCATTACTACACAGTAAGTAAATTATTTGATAGTCATTTTACCTTAGAACCACAACATTTTAGGAATAATTGTACCAGTTTCCTTGTTTTGTGAAAAAAGTTTACATTTTTACATTTCCATCACAATCATTTATATGTAGTCATATATTTTTCAGTATTTCTTATATATAGATTATGTAAATGGATTGTAGAAAACTACACATGTAGTGTATTTTATACATTTTCCTAGATTGTGAATTAAGTAATTATGCAAGTACACATACACATAACTAAAGCCTACTACATTATGAATATTCATTATAAAAGGGAGAGCACACACAGAAATACGTTCCCAGGTTTATACTTGAATACTATTTAAAGGAATTATCTTAAATATACAAATGTATGTTGATTCAGGGAAAAAGAACTTTTATCTGTCTATATTTCCTGTGTCAATTGTAATTTAACCAAGTGTGTATTAGTTTAATACATTTATGTTCATTTTTTTTCATCATTGTATCATCCACCTACAATAAAACATTTCAGACAGGAGGGGAGGTATACATATATTTGTTTTTCTGTGATAATGTTGTGTGCACATTTTAAATTATAATTTATAATATAATAACTATTGTAATATATTTCTTTGTAAAAAACATGGCTAATCATGTGTTTGGTTGTAGCTATAAAACTGTAGAACAGGGTTTCAGTTAACATATCTGTCTATAGAACTTGTAACCATATGTTATGGAAATAGACCTATACCTACAATACCAAGTCAGACCAATCTTTAACTTTATGCCATTCGACCTGGCTCAATACTGTTGATAACTCAAATCACGGACGGGCACCTGAGAGGTCTTTCTTAACAAGTTATCCTTGAAAGTCCCATTATGACCTTTACAGTGTTAGTTTGTGGTGACCCCCCCCCAAAAAAAAAAACAAAAAAACTTACGTTTTGACAAACTATAAATGGACTGTTCCAAATTCAAAGCTGGACAAGTCCATTATAATATGAAAATTTCAAAAGGTCAAGGGTCAATCTTCTGAGCACTGTTTGTTGTAATTGCAGTGCTATGATTTCTCAAACCTGCTGGGTTATTCTCACAATTTTGACAACACTCTATCTAGTGGACACTTAGGTCTTGAAATTTTGGAATGTTTTAATAAATCAGTGGGTGTAAAGGTTGTTTTTTTTTTTAAAGAAATAGGGGTATAGTTGTCCCCTGACCTACTAGCATGGGTAAAATTTGTTTTTCTTCACCTTTATTATTTGTACTTGTGTAATGGATAAAAGAAATTATACATGTTAAGTTGTGAAATGAGGTCATATTTACCCCATTTTTTATGGGAAAACACTCACATAGTCACTTTTCTTAGTTCAATTGAAATTTTTCACAATCAAGTGATCTGTTTAAAAAAACTACTGACTTGTTTAGTATGACAAGTTTTCCATGCAAAAACAAACAATGATAAGCACTACTTTTAAGGCACAAATTTATTGTACTTTTCTGTCAAAATATTACTTTTCCTGATTTGTTATTAATTGTGGTTAAACATATTCAATTTTAGTTTTATACTGTGTTTAAGTGATAAAAATATCTTAGACATTTGAAATGTGTAAATGCTATATAAGTTACAGTTGTAGGAAGAGATATCAAAATTTTAAAGATCAGTATATTAAGATCTATATTTCAGACATTCGAAATGAGAATTAGTGAGTTTAATTTTTGACGATTAAGTGCTATGTTTTATCCATGTTTATTTTATATTTTACAGAGAAGATGGTTGGTGGGAGGCAGAAAATGAGAAAGGGGAGAAAGGCTCTGTACCATCTACATATCTCAAGGTTAGTAAACCATTCTTTATCATACTATTTATCATAAGCTATTTTCATCTGCACAAGCTTTTTCATCATAATAAGCTTAAGCCTTATATCATCATACTCAGCCTGTGTATATTTCAGCATGCTTTTTGGGGCTTAAAGTGGATTGGTCTACAATGGGCCCATTTTCTATAAGTATTTCAAATATTGATAAAAAAATAGAAATGTATCATATGGATATTTTCTTATAAAATTTTGCTTAAAAGAAATTGTTGATAAAGTTCTAAATGATTCAGTGTGAACATTTTAAAAATTATTAATAATTATATTCTGTGCTAGAACAATTTATTATGTGCTATATGAATAATACGTAATACCAAACACTTGAAAACATATATCTCAGACTTGAGAATTGAAAGAATAAGATAATAATTAAAGTTTGATGAATTTTGTTACATTTTATTTTTGTTTTCCTTTTTAGATGTACAATAAATACAAAGATGTTCAACAATCAGATGAAGGTAAGAGTAAAGAGTTAATGTTTATTTTAGACATCCTTACAGTCTTAATTTCAGGTCTTGGTGATATATGATAATATATGCTCTTAATTCTATGACGGATGAATTGAGTTATTTTTTGTGAGTTTCCCAAGCTGTCTAATTCTATATTGCTCTTGCATCTTGCCTCAACATGATTTATTCAGCTAATTGCTATTTGACAGTGCATTGTGCTGGGTTAATCAATGGCCCTTTACTTCTTTATATTGAAATATTGTGTAAGACTAGGAATTCTATACATGTAATACAAGAAAACTGTCAATGTTACACACTTACATATTCCTGCTTTTACTTATTAGCTATCCTATAGCTGATGAAATGTACAGGGAAGCGCTTTTCTATACTAGGAAGGTGTGAAAGTTCCCATATGCTGTGTGATTTAAAACAAAGCTAAAAGAGGAAACTATCAAAAATCAAAATGATTATACTGAGAATTTATAGCCTTAGAATTTGTAAAATTATGGCCTTTTGTAGTTTGTGTGAAGAAAAATGCTAGTACTGGCCAACAAATCCAAGTCCATTTATACAGTGTCAAAAAGGAACTTTAACCCTTTACTGGAAACAAAAATGAATAGCAAAAAGAATAGAACCAGTCCAGCTTGCACAGGCTCTATACTGTTGGCAACTCAATTTTTGTATAATTTTGATATTGAAATCCCTTTAACCTGGAATAGACTGTTCCAATTTCAAAGCATTCCATTACACAAATTCAACAGCTTATGGGTTAAATCTGACACAAAACCAATTACTGTTAAATCATTATTAATCGTGGGGCACAAATTTTCATGGTTTTCGTGGGTAGGTCAATCCACAAATTTAAGATCCGACAAAATTTTATCCCAACAAATACTTTTTGCCATGTCTCTATTCTATATATAACATACATGTATCGGCGCTTTTTCGCCGATTTTTGTGTAATGAATGCCGAGAGGCAAGGATTAAATTTATTGACAAGCGCGGTGTGATACTTAAAGATATGTACATGCAGTAAGTAAAATGCGCAGCGATTAAGTGTAAGATTACTTTGCATTTGGTTATTTATTTAATTTTTTTTATAAGAAATTGAAAATCCATGAAATTAAGAACCAACGAAAATGTCTGTTTTGATAAAACCTAGAAATTTTATGCCCACGAATATAAGTGAATTCGCAGTATAAAGTTGTTTATATTTCTCTCATGTAGAAGAAGAAGAAGATAATGAAGAAGATGAAGATGAGGAAGAGGAAGGGGAAGAAGGCACAGAGAAAAAGAGTAAAAGTAAAAAACCTAAAAGGTAGGGGTGAATTTCTTTTTGAAAAATAAAATTACAATTGCTGCTTCTATGGTTTTTGACAAAAATTGTAGAAATGAAAGAACATACAAAAAAACTCCATATATCTGACAGTAAAATAGTGTAATTATCTTCTGCTATCTTCTGATTCTTTTATTCATGCTAGTTTATGATGTGTTTCTATTGTCACATTCAGAGTTACATTTTAAATTTAGGGAGCATCAACCTCATATATTTGACATTTGAAATATATGTTCTTGCTTAAAAATGTTTTTTTGCATAAATTCTTAAGTTGTAACCACTATGGTTTACAGGTAGGGTGTTTCAAGGGTGCAATGGCTGAATTTGTTGAAATAATTCTATGAAATAAGTCTTAAAATAAGTTTGATACATAAATGAAAGGTTGGTCTATAATGGACACATTTCCATAATTATTTCAAATATTGATAAAAACAATATATATTTATCATTTGGATATTCTTATTTAATATTTCTTTATAAAAAGACATGTCAATGAAAAAATAAATGATTATTTTTATTGTGAAAAGTTCTTTTTTCTTAAGGTATGTGATAAATAGAGTATTATATTTGTGAAGGTTTATTACTAAATTTATTGAACATGTTGAATAAAATGTAAGACTGGCATACTGTAAATTTATTCAATTAATATTCTCTATAGATAAAATATTTCGAACTGTAACGGTAATCTTTCCTCAAACTTTCCTCCATTTAGCTTGTAGATAAAGAAATATCACTTTCTGGAATATTTTTTTTTAAAGTGTAATTAGATAGTTAAATGAATATCTTACGGTTGACCAAATTTAAACTGAAGAAAGGATTACAAAATTCCATACCCTAATATTAGTTTTGTGTTTTAATTCAAATCCATCAAGATTGTGGTATTTTATGGTCCATTGAGTAAAAGTTGTGTTGTCATATTAATGTAACTATGCATGTTCTTAAATTCAACAATCTTTTGTTGTTGTTTTTTTTCTCTCCAAAATTCAGTCATTCCAAATGGTTTGCATGTAGAATTATTTCAACAACATTTTTCATAAGATACTCAAACTATCCACACTACTTTGAACTGTTGTTAATTAATGTTGTTTTTGTTGTATAGAGATAAAGATAAAGAGGTATGGATATATCCCTGCTGGATGCAGACGATAATTTTTATGTTAATTTCACCTGAAACATTATACTTGACCTTTTTTCCCTTTCACTATCCTCTATTCTCAAACTTTCACAGCTTCAAAATAAGAGTTACCTTTGTTAGTTCCCAAGTCATTTTTTCTTGACTTGTTTGTAAATCGTGGTCATATTTATTTGACATGCAGTTAAAGGCTTTTAGAAAACATTGTATTGATTTTCAGGATTAATGCATTTTTTAATAAAAATTGATGTATTTTACAGAAAAATTGAGGTATAAAAGAAAAAATATTGTTTTATATAGTGCCATTAGTCATTTATGATGCTATTTGTGTAAAGTTGTGAAAGTTGTTTCCCTTTGTTTATATGCACTATGGTAGTGGAAATAATATATATGTGGAGTTACAGTAAGGTAGAGGTTTTTGATGTTTTTCAACTTTTGAATTAGGTACAGTAAACCCCAGATAGATTAGATTATTCATAGAGTAGAATAAAAAAATGCAGTGGCAATAGAAAAAATGTTCTATTTTGTTAAAGTGTTTGATTTTTTTCTTTTTTCAAAAACTTAAAACAAATGATAAATTCTTAAACTTTCACAATTTTTTATTTACAAAAAAAACACAACAACATTGATTCATCGCCTCCGTGGTCGAGGGGTTAGAGTCGATGACTTCTAATCCAGTTACCTCTCTGGCGTGGGTTCGATCCCCGGGAGATGCTTTGGTAGTTTAGCGCGGAGGAAGGTAGTCTAGTACTGGTGTAACTCTCCAGGAACGATGGTTAGGAAACTACCCGCCTATATGACTGAAATACTGTTGAAAAAGGTGTAAAATGAAACAAACAAACAAACAAACAACATTGATTCATTCTTGTTTTTACTTTTTTAATTGTAAAAAAATGAAAAAATCACACAAAAACATTAAAGACAATGTAAGCCTTGTGACAGATACTGTTTTCCACCTCACTGTTACACTATACACAAATTTATATTTACTAACTCCACTAGTATTTATTTCCATTACTAAACTGCAGGATAATATTACAACATGCTTTGGAAATTAGAAATTATAATCATTTTCTGGAATCAATCCTTGATATTTAAGTTTGTCTTCTTCTATTTTTCTCTCATTTATAATCATTTATTTCTTGTTTATGAAAAGACCCTACCCTTTTATCAGTTTGGCATTTGAATTTCTAATTTCTTAAATGATTTATTCATCTTTTTTTTTATCAATCTAGAAAATTCTTTTATATCAAAGCATGTTGTTGTAATGGAAACAAAGTTACAAGATGTGTATGTTTAAAGTTAAATCCAGTTTCATTTTTAGTCATTTTGGTTGAACCTAATTTTGGACCAGTTCGACGGAAAATCTGAAACATTCTGGCACAAAACACCTAAAAAAATAACACCCTAAAATTTATTGAATTACCATATACTTTAACTTTGTTTCCATTTTCACAGGTAGGTAAAATTTTTAATTTGCTTTCTGAAAAGGGGAGGTAATATTTTTTTCTATTCATTACCTCCCTTTAATTTGTTTTTGAGTGAAAGTTGCTTTGAGTTGATTGCGTGTTTTATTTCCATGCTAACAGTGGTAAACAACTGTGGGGCAGTTTAAAGAAAGCAGTAAACGAGGTATGTTTCTGTTGTCCATTATAACACCTTAAATCAAGCTTTTAGTTTGATATCATAATATATTCAGTTTAGTTTTAATAGTTAGCTACAGTAGTGTTCATGCTTTTTGCTGAAGATAATTAGTTTTCCGCACTTAGAATTTATTTCAATTTTATGAGAAAACAGCTAAAATTAGTCAATATATTTAGTGGCATTTTCTTTAATTTCAAGTGTTAAGCATGCTTTAATATTTGGTCTAAAACTAAAGTTAAGATATGGCATACAAATAATGTTGACATGGACATTGAAAGTGACATATAAGTTTTCAGTTGATGTCCGTAAATCTAAGAAAAATATATGTGTGTGTTATAACTGCTGTATTTAGCTTGATATTTTGTCATTGTTTTTTTTTGTTTGTTTGTTTTGTTTTTTACAAATGTGTATTTTATGTGAATTATTTTTGGTTTCACAGACTAAAAAGGTAATGTAACATATGCACACATTTTGAAGGTAATAAAACACCTCTATCAGACTGAACGATGTGATACTTTATAATCTATTATATCTTTACTATCACTAATGACCAGTAACCAGTAGACTACAAAATAACTGGCAGTTGGCTATCTACCAAATCATGACAGTATATTGACTGAAATTAAGTCAATGACTTGATAAAATACCATTACAAACCCATCGTTATGCCATTACAAACTCCATCATATAGCCATGACAACCCAATCAGTAGGCCATTACAAATATTGCCATTACAAACCTCATCATTATGCCATTACAAATTCTGTCATTATGCCATTACAAATTCCGTCATAACGCCATTACAAATTCTGTCATTACGCCATTACAAATTCCGTCATTATGCCATTACTAACTCTATCATTTAGCTGTTACAATCCCCATTCTTAAACCATCACAACCCAATCAGTAAGCTGTTATAAACCCCATAAATTTGCCATTATAAACGTTATTAGAAAGTCATTACAAACCTCATTTTTAAGCCATTACAAACTTTATCAGTATGCCATTACAACTCCTGTGTCATTTTAACCTTATCAGTATGTCATTACAAACTTTTTTGTTAAACAATTACAACCCCTATCAGTAAGTCATTACATTCCCCGTATATAAGCCATTACAAACCCAATTAGTAAAAGAGTTTAATGACATAGGTGCAAAGCCCTTTTTTTTAGAAAGATGAGCATATTTTATGTAGGATTAGTATTACAATATATTACAAACAATATATCGCAGGTAACAATAAATAAAATGGTAATTGATTTATATACTTTGAATTTAGATTTTTGTCCAACTTTAAGAAGGTTCTCCTAAATCGCATACAGTAGAAACCGTACTTAAAACCACCCTGAAATTAAGACCACCATGCTAGTTCGATCCCCTAAATCTCATATATTGTTTGATACTAATCTTGACTTGTGAACAGTATAGCTTAGATAAATAGACTTGCACTTGCTTTAAAACATTTGCGTTGTAATGCTATGTGATTTTTTCCCACCAGGGACTAGAAATTATGCTGTCCAACTAGCTTATGGAAAGTTGATGATTTTAATCAGGTGCAGACTTGTACCTGATGTAATGCACAAAAGAGAACCAATTTTTAGCTCGACTATACGAAGTATATGGAGAGCTGTCCTACTCGCCCCGGCGTCGGCGTCCGCGTCCGCGTCCAGATTTTAGATTAAAGTTTTGGTGCAGTAAAATATTTTTCACTATAACTTTGTCATTTCTTAAGGTATCAACTTCAAACTTCAAATATATGTTCCTTATCATCAACCACATCTTATGTGACAAGGTTCATAACTCTAGCACCAATATTTTCAGATTTATCTCCCCTTGAACTTAGAATTTTCCTTAAAAAATACTATTTTTTACTGTTACTTCTTTATTTCTTAAGGGATCAACCTCATACTTGAAATATATGTACCTTATCATCATCCCCATCTTATGTGACAAGGTTCATAACTCTAGCACCAATATTTTCAGATTTATCTCCCCTTGAACTTAGAATTTTCCTCAAAAAATACTATTTCTTACTGTTTCTTCTTTATTTCTTAAGGGATCAACCTCATACTTCAAATATATTTACGTTATCATCATCCCCATCTTATGTGACAAGGTTCATAACTCTAGCACCAATATTTTTAGATTTATCTCCCTTTTGAATTTTCCATAAAAAATATTATTTTTTACTGTTACTTATTTATTTTTAAAAGGATCAACTTCATACTTCAAATATATTTACGTTATCACCATCCACATCTTATGTGATAAGGTTCATAACTCTAGCACCAATATTGCAAGAATTATCTCTCCATAAACTTAGATTTTTTTACTAGAAAAATGTTATTTTTTATTGTAACTTTTTTATTTTTAAAGGTATCTACCTCAAACTTCAAATACTTATTCCTTATCATCAATTACATTTTATGTGACAATGTTCATAACTCTTGAAGCAATATTTACAGATTTATCTGTCTTTGAACTTAGGATTTTCTTTAAGAAATATAATAACTTCTTTACTTTTTAAGGTATCTACTTCAAACTTCAAATATATATTTCTTATCATTACACAAATGTTGTGTGACAAGGTCCATAACTCTAGGATGACTATTTCTAGAATTATTCCCCTTGATCTTGGAATTAATGTTAACAAATGTTATTTTTTTTCTATAACTTAATACATAATTATACATAATGGATTTTTCTTTCATATTTTTGTCCTCCTTACTGCGTCCAGTATTTTATTAGTCGAGCTTCGCTGTCTCCTGTGACAGCTCTTGTTACCATAAAAACTGGAAAGTCGTCGTATAAAAAAACTGGAAAGCCGTCCTATAAAAACTGGAAAGCTGTCCTATAAAAATTGGAAAGTTGTCATATGAAAACTGGAAAGTCGTCCGATAAAAACTGGAAAGTTGTCCGATAAAAACTGGAAAGTCGTCCTATAAAAACTGGAAAGTTGTCCAATAAAAACTGGAAAATCATCCTATGAAAACTGGAAAGTGGTCCTATTAAACTGGAAAGTTATCCTATGAAAACTGAAAAGTCGTCATATGAAAACAGGAAAATCGTCCTATGATACTGGAAAGTTGTCCAATAAAAACTGGAAAATCATCATATAAAAACTGGATAGGCTTCTTATTAAAACTGGAAAGTCGTCATATGAAAACTGGAAAGTGGTCCTATTAAACTGGAAAATTATCCTATGAAAACTGAAAAGTCGTCATATGAAAACAGGAAAATCGTCCTATGATACTGGAAAGTTGTCCAATAAAAACTGAAAAAATCATCATATAAAAACTGGATAGGCTTCTTATTAAAACTGGAAAGTCGTCATATGAAAACTGGAAAGTCGTCCTATAAAAACTGGAAGTTGTCATATGAAATTGGAAAGTTGTCCTATGAAAACTGGAAAGTTGTCCTATGAATACTGGAAAGTCGTCCTATGAAAACTGGAAAGTTGTCCCATGAAAACTGGAAAGTCATATGAAACTGGAAAATCATCCTATAAAAACTGGAAAGTAGTCCTATGAAATTGGAAAGTCGTCCTATGAAAACTGTAAATCGTCCCATGAAAACCTGAAAGTTGTCCTATTAAAACTGGAAAGTCTTCGTATCAAAATTGGAAAGCCGTCATCTAACCTTTACAGTGTCAGTGTGTTTTTTAAAACCCCAAAATATTAAAACTATTAAATTAAAACTAGTGTTGAGAATTATCAAGTAGCTAGGATACCTTCTTTATGTGTGTTCCCATGTATAATGTGTGTGAGAAAATGTGTTTCTTGGAAATGGTTGCTATAGTTTACAGGTGGTGGTATTATACAACGAACAATGGAAATGTTATAATGTTTATGTTTGTTTATATATATATAAATATTGTAAATATCTTTCTTCTTGGTGGTTCAGTACTTTTCTTATTTTTCTGTCTCTTTTGGAATGTGAATACAAAACTTAAAACAATAACATGAGAATTATAATAATGTATGGGTCACAGTGTTTTTCATAGAATATAAAACATCACAAGTTTTAACAAATCTTCTGTGCACTAAAGCTTTAAGTATTGACCTGTAATTTTCTTAGCTGAAAAAAAAGATTTTTCAAATTTCTTCTGCCAAATCATTTCATGAACTTAAAAGCTATATCCTGTGCTTTTGCTTATACAAATAAGGGAATGAAAACGCATGACAATCTTACATTTGTACTTATTTGCCATGTTAAGTAAATGTGAAATTAAAGACTTACAATTTATAACAGTCTTTTTTAATTTACAAAGGATTTCTACATCAAAATAATAAAATTGAGCAATAAACAGTTAAGAGCTTGGTCAGAATGAGCAGATATGCTGACTGGTCTTTCTCTATACAGTCAATGGTGTTGACAATTAAGTACTGCTGCTATCATTGTAAGGGTTAATTGAATATTGATACAAGAAAAAAGGAACAATTTTGTTTGTGAAGCATTTCTTTATTGACACATTGTAACAGCTGATTTATAAAAATGTAGAGGAATAAATATGTTGTGCTGGAAAAATGTGATGTTATTTAAAACTTCTTTATTATTTGTGATCAATTAGTTTATTATAAAAAGATAACCATTTATCATAATAACAGGAAACTCTTCATTTGAATTTATGCTTAGCTGTATTTGTGTGTCTTGTATGATTTTAAAATGTATATTTAAATGAATTATGAATACATTGTGTAGTTAGAATCACAGCTGTCAACCAAGAAACAATTATCTTACTTAACAAAAATTATTGTTTATATATTGTTGGGAGTCAAAAACCATGCACGGTGTTTTACAATGTCATGAAAATCATATTATATGTGTTGTATATTTTGTAGACAAGTGTTACAGATGTATTACATGCTATGGGAGCTGTACCCTCTGGTTTCAGAGTTTCAACTTTAGGACAGAAATTTAATTCAGGTAAATCTTTGATATTTTGACAAATTAAATACATATGATAATAATAATAGTGGTAATTATTTCTATGTAGATGATTTTGTTACGAAGGGATGATGTTAGCATAACAAAAAGAGGTGGAACCATGAAAAAGTGGCACATGTAAAGTATGGTATCCTGTTAGGGCAACTTAAAAATTTGCTGCTAAAATTGGATATATGTCATGTTTTTCATTGGGGCTTTAACAATTGAAATCATTTTATACATGTATATATTACAGAGAGTATATATCAGATGAAGAATTACCTCACACCAAAACTGAGCAATTCTAATTTCTCCTACAGAGATCTCTTCTTTGATCCCAGTGAAAACAAGGTAAATAAAATGATACATTATGCTTAATATGAGTGTAAAGTTGTGTAATAATTTCAGAATGACAAACAAATTTAACTTAAAGCATATACTGGTAAAACTTTTTTTTTATATTAGCATGCATTCTTTCAGTATATTCATTTTAAATGCAATAAGTCTTTTGATGTGATATTGTGTTATTGTCCTTATATATAAAAAAAATGTTGATTGCTTTTGTTTATTTTTGGTGTTGTTTTTATTTTTAAATATCGTTTACTTATTTAAGTACATTGTGATTGCCACATAACAGACAAGTGATTCTGAAACTTTGAGTAAACAAGAAGAGTGAGATTTACAGTATTATTTAATTTTTAATATCATTTATTTTGACAGATTCGAGCCAAAATTGCAAGAGAACAGAGAATAGTAACTCTTGTAAATTGTAGACAGATCCCTACACCAGGGGCAGGTAAGTTCTAATGTAGTAAGATTTTACCATTAAAATATGTTCTAAGTTCAAGAGAAAAAAAGGTAAATACAAATACAAGACATTTATATAGCGCAAAAATGTATTAAATATTCGATTGCGCTTGATCAAGACACTCCCAAACCCAGTCCCGATGGCATAGCCAATCTACAACTCTAGTTGAAAAACAGTCCAAACAAGTATGTTTTAAGTTTGGCCTTAAACTGATTTTCATTGGTAATGTCCTTCAGATAGTCTGGCAATGAATTCCACCATTTAGGTCCCACAATAGCCAAAGATCTATCAGCAAGTTTTGAATTTGTTGATGGTATATCAAACTGAGTGTGGCTAGATGATCTCAGTCTTTTCTTGTACTGACTCTGGCATTTAGTGAACAATTCAGGAAGATACAATGGAGCAGTGCCATTTGCAACACGAAACACAGTAACAATAACTTGGTACATGATTCTTGCTCGAATTGGAAGCCAGTGGAGTGATTTAAGGATTAAATATTAGATTAATCAAATTTTGTATTTTCATTATTTTATGTATATAATTATAATGATTATTTCAGGGCTTGAGATAAAAAGCAGACATGTAAGAATGTGTTTATTTGATGGTCAAAATGTAAGTATAAAAATTGCTTGTTCATACATAAATCAAAGTAGGTCCAATCATACATGATTTGACTAAAATCAAAAGTTTAGCATTGACAGTATTAATTTGACTTTCACTGTTTTTTTTTTCTCTTTGTGAACTTTTTTGCATTAACCTTATTGCAAACACTTAGGATACTGGTGGTTGAGTATCAGTCTTAAACCCTTACCAGAACATATACCATAAATGGACTTGAAAATTTACTGTGCGGACAAAATCATTTAACATTTTTAATGGAAAATTGAGAAATATGTGCTGGATAAATAGAGAATAGTGCAGACCATGACCCATGCTGTCTGATTTTGGTTTACACTTGTTGCATTGGGAGAATCAGTTGTCACCCACAGGCTAATGGTTAAATAAGAAAGGGATAGGTAGCCATATTGTTAAGATGTGTACCTTTCAACCCCAGGATTCTGGGTTCAAGTCCTACGGGGGTCATAATGATGATTCTTCCTTTGACACCAGTTTAAGTGCCTTTAAGTGCCAGGAAGCAGATCTGACAGTGATTCTTATATACCGGTACTTTATGCTTTATCACTAATGAGCTAAAAATGAATGTGTTTAAAGTAAATGAGAACAGATTCAATTTTATGTATTATAGAGAATAATATTTTTTCTTCTTTTTTTTTTTAGATTTTGAGTAACATCCATACAGTGAAAGTCACATCAGTGGACAGGGAACAAAGAACATGGTCATTCTCCACCAGGGTGAGAACTCTTTTACTGTAAATTTTTATACTGTTACAGTAAAGTCTTTTATTTGTTTTAGCTTAGCTTATATTATATTAAATTCAGATTTGGTATGTTACACTTTCACTTGGTTTTAACCTAGCTTTCTGTGACATTATAATTAAAATTAGGTTCATTATCACTCATACACTGAGCAAACTGTTTTTTAATTTTTTTGTTGAGTGTAAAATAATGTATAAAGAAGTTTCAGGAATGTATGAAATGAAGTTTTCTTTAATGTAAAAAAAGTAAAAAATGATTGACTTCAATTTGCAAAGAAATTTACTTCCTTTACATTTCTTGTTTGTTAAAATAAATGTTATATATCTGGCTAAATGAATTTAAGTTATTTATTGTTAACATGGTTTTAAAATTAATGAAAGCAACATGTGCTTTTTCTCCACTTTCATATTTCTAATGTCGACCTTTGTCTGTTTGTCTCTAATGTTGACATAAAAATGATGAAACATTTAAAGATATGGTGTATGACAGTACATATAAAGCAAAATTTACATTGAAATTCAATAAAGATTAACTTGAAATTCAATAAAGGTTACATTGATATTTATTAAAAGTTACATTAAAATTCAATAAAGATTACATTATAATTCAATAATGTACATTGAATTTCAATAAACATTACATTGAAATTCAATAAAGATTACATTATAATTCAATAAAGTACATTGAAATTTAATAAAGGTAACTTTGAATTTCAATAAACATTACATATAAATTCAATAAATGTTACATTGAAATTCAATAAAGATTACATTGAAATTCAATAAAGATTCAATCGAGATAGACATTAATTGAAATTCAGTAAAGATTACATTGAAATTCAATAAAGAATACATTGACATTAAGAATAGATTACATTAACAGGCATCTGAATGTTTACCAACATCAGTGGTGAGGGAAATGTTTGCTTTCTGTCATTTGTTGTTGAATAACTAAACTCAGATCTGTGTCTATCTATGTATATTTTACCTTACTATTTGATAAAAATGTTTTTACTTTTGTCAAATGTTTGCTAACTTTTTATGTCTATAAAACTGTATTGTTAAATTTGTGTTGAAATAATGATTAAAAAGCAGTTACTGTTTGGATTAATGAAAAGTGTCAAAGAAAAATGAATTTAGGCCTACACTGTACAATCTGCCACTTTTATTCCATGTTACATTATTGTAAGTGGGTGAAAATTTCTTGTAAGAAAGAAAAGAAAATATCTTTGCAGTTTCACCTAGAGTTTTCATTTTATTTAAAGCTACATGCCTCCAGATGAGTCAAAATATTTCAATAAAATCAAACTTTAAAAAATGTATTAAGATATAAGGAAAAGTAAAAAGTTTCCAAATTTTAGTAATATTTTACATATTATGTGCGATTATTGACTGATTTTTCTGTATTTACAACTATATTTCTACTGCGTTACTAACGCAGTAAAGGCTATTTATGCATATTTTGAACACTTTTTGGTAATTTACAAGTTATGTAAGCATCATTGATAATGTTTAAATTGTTTCCTTTTGGTTACTTTACAATATTACACATTCAAATGAATTTTCAAAATTTTCAAGAAAATTAGCATGAATCTGGAGGCTTTAAGGTATTAGCACCCTAATGCATTACCTCCGCTTTGAAGAGTATTCAAATAGGCTAGAACTACTGTTAACTACATTGAAAATGAGGGCCATGGGTTCAATCCCCAGAAGGGTCAACTTTTTTTTTCTTTCTTTTTTTCTTTTAACATTATTTATGTATCTCTCATGTCCCATTTGGAAAGAAAAAAGTGTTTAATTTTGATTTTTTAATTTATATAGGTATTCATTGGCTAAATTATGCTAAATCTAGTAATAAATATGGTACCTGATATTTTCAAAGTGTAATATAATCAAAACTAGACGGTAAAAGTATTTCATATTTTACAAGATCAACCAATATACTTTTTTAAAAATTTAGGGAAACTTTGAAAACAGGCACTCATTTGGGTAAATTTTAAGAATTTTTTAAATAAGGCTCCCTAAGTAGAAAAATGGTCAGACACGTGGTAAAAATGGGTGGGGTAGGGTAACATTTTTATACAGATTTCATAAATTTTAAGTAGAAACCATAATTTTGCTTATTTGGATTGTTAGCTGAATGGTACTATTTGTTTCTTACCAAAAATTAATGGGAAAACATTTTTCATTAGAATGTTATTGCAGATTATTTAAAGGTTCCTACTTTCTAAAAAAGGGCCCTCATAACATCCTAGCTTGAGTTCAGAAAAGTGGCCATAACTTGATTTCCATACGGTAAACTTTGTTTAAATTTTGCATACAGGTGTACTTTAAGGTATACATCTGACTTTTTTTTAGTTCCTGATATTGCCCATTAGGGTCCTAATACCTTAACCATAACATTTGTATAATTCATTTGTCTGACTTTGAGTTTGGATCCATTCATTGTTAATATAAAGATACTAAAAGTCAAACAGCCAACATTTCAGAGTCATGTCAGACCACACCTATATGAAGGTTGATTGGCCGTTATTCTTGTGTCTTAAGAAATGTCGTTATTGGTGCTTCAATTAGATTAATTAACCCTTAAGCTGCTGAATTTGTAAAATGGATTAGCCAAGCTTTTGATTTGGAATGGTCTATTTAAAGTTGAAGGGATGCGAGTATCAAAATATAAAAAATAGTCCACTCACAGTATAGAGCCTGGTCAGACTGCATTAAGGTGCAAGTTGGCCTGGATCTAGACTGGTGGAAGAGGGCAATCACTTTCTGTTCCTGGGGAGTAGGGGTTAAGATTGAAATACTTCAATATTAAACTGTTTTGTGTGCACAAATGCTTTTTATTGTTTGCAATTCTCATGATAAATACATCAATATTTTATATAAAATTTAATAATCATCATTTACATAGAGCAAAACATTAATTTTTAAATACTGGAGCACATTTTACCATAATGAACATTAGGAGAATCTGTTGTGTAGAGTTCTAAGAAGAATAATCCTTTGATACTTGTATTAGTTTGTAGACATGATAAACTGTGTGTAACTGTAGCAACTAGATAATAACAATCAATTATTTAACTAATTCTAGAAGCTTTGAAAAAAAGTCACATGATGCTTTTTTATAAATTTAGGTATCTTTTGAAACTGTGATTATTTGGTGCTGTTAATTTGGCAATAAACAATTTGTTACTGAATCATTAGTATTGTTAAAAAGAATTTCATGTATGAGCGTATACAGGTTTTATTTTGGTTTCATATTTATATTTATTTGAGATAAGTTACGCATCCTTTCATATGAGCAGATGGTATTAGAAAATGAAAATTTCTGCTCAGTAAATTTTAATGTATGATATATAATAATTTATGTTTTATAATAATGTATGATATATTATAATTTATAATATATAATAATGTATGATATATGATAATTTATGATATATAATAATGTATGATATATAATAATGTATGATAATGTATGATATATAATAATGTATGATTTATGATAATTTATGATAAATAATAATGTATGATAATTTATGAACATTTATCTAATTTAAGAATAGCATTTTTCATGCCTATGGCTTTGTCATGATATTAAATTTTGCAATTCTGTTAGCTTTAGTTGTTGCCATTATCAAAATATTATGTTGTGGTGTATATTGTGTCAAGTCATTGTCAAACTTTTTCATCTAGAACTAATAAAGTAATGACACTCAATCCTCAGTCTTTATGTATTCATTTATATACAATAGTGATATTGGCAATTAATGTACTAAAATGTTTGTATTTTCTCCAGGTAAATGACATGATGGACACCTACCAGCATGGTGAAGTTTTCATTAGAACCAGTAACATTGTTCCTAATATAGGTATGATATGTTTCCTTTATTTCAGTATCTAATATGATTATAGAATATTGGAACCCTTTGGTTCTGATTTTAGATTGTAGATATAAGTACTTATATATATGAGTTTCTTCTCCAAGTATGTAACAGTTGTTATGTTGTTAAGAGAGAAAATTGAGACAACAAAAGTTGTTATTCGGAACTCAGCATGCATTGGTGTTTCTAAGCTAATCCAACAGAAAAACAAACCAGTACAGCTTCATGGTGTACTTCTGTTTGCTATAGATTAGTCAACTTGTTGTGCTTATTTTCGAAGTTGTAGCTATAAAAGTTTTAACCACCAAGCTTGGATAACCCAATATATTCTTAATTCCAAAGATGGTCACTCTACATGCAATTGAAATTATGTGTATTTGGTTCTATGAAATCTTTTGAACTTGCTTAGTATTCATTAAGCAAATTAAGTTTGTTCACCTCATGAAAGATTAGATGTCTTAAGAGTTATTAATTTAAATGTTAGAAAATAAAAAGTGTATAATTTTACTAAAATATTTTCTTTCTTTTTCCCTTTAGGTATACTGTTTGAAATGTGTGCCTCATATGTTAGAACAGTAAGTATTAAAGTCTTAACTTTATTTTCATTTTCAATGTAAGTTGTTGCCTGCCTACCTCTGTCAGCTTCTTCAGGGGAGTTAATTCTTTGGCTTAGAGGCAATAAAAAGATTCAAGATTCAAGTAAACATTTACATCTTAGGTGCAACTGATTTTGCATTATTAATCACCATGTTTCTACTGTGTGACTAATACAGTTACTGTGTGACTTACACTGTAAGGGCTATTGACCCGGATTGTAAGTATTGCAATGTGCTAAATACTTTCTTTGTTCACTTCACAATATTTTTCTTTTAAAAAGATTTTCAAAATTTTACATGAAAATTAGCTTGATTTAGAAGTATGCTGCTTTAAGAGAATGATGCAGTCTGAGCAAATAAGATGATTTTTTTTCAAAATTTCAGAGTACAAAAGAAAAAGGAGAGTTTAGCTGTGGTTGGACACATCTGCCATTAGAGGACCCCACCACAGGGCAACCAGTTCAAAATAAGTAGGTTTAATCTTTATTCTAGTTTATTATGATTTTTGTTCAAAACTTTCAAAAGATTTACTAGAAAGCATGTCTTGAAACTTTTATTTATTAAGTAATTTTGCTATTGTTTTTGTTTATCTAGAAAGTATTTGATAACATTTATCACACATTATTGTGATACAGCCGGTCAAGCTCAATATATCCTGTGTAACAATTTGAAGATTTTTTTTTTGGGGGGGGGGGGGGGGGTGATTGTCTTGAATTGTCATTGAAATTCTTATAGTTGTAAGATTTGAGTGCAAAGCTGTTGTGTACCTTTATTCAATTGCTGCATTAGGCAATCTTTGTTTTGTAACAACTAGATTGAAATGTTTAAAATGCATGCATCACTAATGACTAACAACTTATCACATAAACCATGGTGCAGGAGTGTTATAAAGCCATTTAAAGAAATTTTGAGGGAGTTTTCTTGTAGACATATAGGCAGAATTAAGTTCGATAGATTTCCTTCAAACTTGGCATGCTGTTAGAATATGATAACAGAAACATTAGGTTGAAACATTTTGGGCGTCATTGTTCTTGTTTTTTAACTTATATATATTTTATATATATATTTTAATATTGCAGGACGTATGATCTGTATATGAATGGAGGTACACCATATGAGAAGGGCATTGAGGTCGATCCCAGTATCAGTCGCAGAAGTAAGTCAGAATATCATGTTTCTATTATCATGTCCTTGATCATGGCATAATCGTCTTTTATAACCTTTGACCCCTTTAAAAACCGACCTTGAAAAAGTATCATGGAATAATTTTCTTTTATAACCTTTAGTCTCTTTAAAAACTAACCTTGAAAATGTTTATTGTATTCTCTGTTTTGCTGTGTAGTAAATAAACACATTATAAAAAAGATGACATTTTTATGTAATACACATTGATATTATGCCTGCATATGCTACTTTATTCTGAAACAAGATGGTTTGCCTCAATGTTTGCCTCAATGTAGTAAACATTAAACATAAATATACCTAAGTCATAAAGCATAAAATATTTTTCAAGTAAACCTGTCAGAGTTAATACAGTTAGTATATGTTCTAGCAAAATGAGTTTGATAGGAGCTTCTGAGTATAGACTTAAATCATTTTTACAGTTACAAAAGTAATGGGTATATTTGTAACTTTTATGTTTTCATTGGTTAACTGCTTTTCATAATTAAACAACAAACAGGCATAATGAACAACACTTGTTTCATGTCTTGGAAAATCATTTTATCTGCTAGAAGTTAGAGCTCCTATAGTTGTGACTAAAATTGTATATTAGACTTTAAAAGTCACTTGGATAAAGTGTTGATCAGATAATGGCCATAAATGTATATAGCAACTCAGCTATAAGACAGATTACTTATAAGACAGAATCTACTGTATAAGTACTTATTTCTGCGGGCTTAATATTCTGCGATTTTTGTTAAAATAAGGGGTTTTAAATTTCTGCGTATTTTATTTCTGCGGTGTCATCATTTTCGAAGTGATAAGTTTTATTTCTGCGTTTTAACTAAGATATTTGTATAAAATTAACCGATAAAAAAGACAGCATTTCAAGATTTGATGATGTTACATTACTTCCACGACTGATAATGTGTTTCGTCATAATCAATATGTATCGGTATATGTATATGCACGTTAAAAACAAACTAGAAAATAACATGCAATGACAAACGTTAATACTGTAATTGTATAAATACGAAGTGTGAAAATAAACAATGGCAAAATCGCACGTCGTCTTAATATATTGTAGAGATACATAAAAAGCAGGTTTTAATGACAAATAACAAACAAGGGTCATTTTTGCATCACCTGTCAAATTATAATTATAGCTGTTTTTTAAACTATTTACAAAAAGCCCATTAATCTTGGGGTGAGTGAAATTCATACAAACATGATAATTATTTATTTCAACAAAAAGAACAAGCAAAGTAAGATTTTTTCTAATAGTTTGTTCATGCCATCTACAAAAGCGGATAACTACACATTGTATTGTATTGATACTATCCCGGTTGTTGAAATATTTCGACATATACAAAACGAAAGGCTTAATTTTCTGCGGTTTTTAAATCTGCGGTGTCGTAATGAACCGCAGAAATAGCAGAAATAAAGTTCCCGCAGAAAAAAGTACTTATACGGTACATTTTTACACTTAATTTTTTTTAATCTATATTTGGTAGCTTTTCTTGCTCTGATTTTCATCTTTTTTTGTGTGTGGACTCTTCATATTTGCCTAAACAAGGAGGTGAATGAGATATTCACCAAAATAAAATTAAGTCTGGTTATCAGTTAGTGAATTTAAAATGTGCAGCTTAATTTGTTAGACAAAAATATGGATGTAGTTTTAGATACCGGGGTCTCTGCTTATAACCATATTCAGGGGACTGCTGCATTTATATCATTATATTTGGATGTCGTTATATCCAAGAGGCAACTGATTTGAAAACACAAGTTCAGAACGCCACAACAACATTGTTATAAGCGGTTTATCAGTATAAGCGATATTATATTGAGTTGTTTACTGTATGTAGTTTATTTTGACATGAATTTGTCACAATTTAATGTAGAATGTTTTATATTTTGGTTTTACCTAGGTACTGGTGAGTATGTCAGTGGTATATAAGCTTAGCCTATACAATCTTAACAATGTCTGTATATTGTGTTATAAATATTACATTCAAGTAGATCTTACACGAGATTGCAATGGTGTTGGAAAGCCAGTTGATATGTTAACTACGGTTGGTAAAAAGAAAATAATTTGTGAATTTACTGAATTACACATTAATCAACTTAAAATATACATGTATAGTGGATTAACTGAGCAGCGCATTGTTAAATAATGTCTAATTAAGAAGATATTTTATAACGGCCCTTTAACAGGATATAGATTACATAGGGTCACTGGTGGGTTCTGGTGTAATGGTACATTATGACACCATATTTGTCCTGAAATGAAAACTTTGGCATGCTCAAATATGTGCCAATAATTTTTACTCCAAAAAAATTGCAAATATTTCCACTTGTAAAATTAAAACCAGTTATGCATTATGATTTAATTACTTTACATATGATAAAGAGTAAACTATCTCAGACTCGTTTATCTATTGTGACAATTTCACAATTGGTTTTAAATCATTAGATTTGTTTGGAAAAGCTCTAACTTATATGCAGGAGAATACTTACCTGTAATACAAATATACATATAATTATATTCACTGTGTTTATTTGTGTTTTGTACTATGTACACTTGTGTGATGATATTCTGTCTTTTTTCAATGTTTTTTTTTCTCTCTCTAAGTCTGGTTAAAAATACTACACAAACAACCATCTTGAATATTATCAAGCACCATCCCTGGTTTCTCTTTCCCACCCATAACAGTGGTTGGGGAAATTTACCACATTGCCTGGTCCATGCAGAGGTTTTGTTATGGCACTAAAATAGTGGTGTAAATTTAAATCTTTGTTGAAATTTCCATTTTGCTCTCTTTGTTTGTTTTCAACTCACTCAAGTGTGTTGTATTTTCTGTGTGTTACTGTATACACGTATATACATTTGTGTGATTATGCTTTTCTACCTGTAGCAATAATCACCCTGGCAATTCTCTTGATTGCATCCTCAAGGAATATGATAATTTTCATAGCATATTGTAATCATGTGTCTTATGCATTGCTCCAGATAGTCTTGAGTTATTTCCTTTATAAATGTCAAACTTTTTAACAGTTTAACTGATATGTTAATGTATATTTGATTATATTATACTCTTCTGTTATTTGTGTTCATAACTTGAAAAAAGTGATTGAAAGCAATCATTAGTTTGAATTTAATCTGATATTAATACTATGTATCATTCATTACCTTATTGTTATTCTTGTTCTCTTCTTTTTCATTCTTGTTTGTTGACTGTCTTTGTACATGTATGGTTTTCCATGTGTTTGTTGTATAACAATGTGGGATGGAGGTCAAGGATGTATTTAGTTAACAGATTTTGTTCCTGTTCAGTTCAGATAAATACAAAAGTGAAATGAAACCATCTTATACCTAACACCTTTACCTTTATTGGCTTAGTTCCATGTTGAAATCATGTTGTTTATAAGAATAATTTGCTTCAGCTGATTAAATTATATCTGATAGCTTTATTTCCTTATTGTTTATCAGAAAGTTTGTTAGTCCATCAGTCTTAGCTCTCTCTTATGTCCTGGTTAATGCAGATATACAGTTATTGGTCAGTCTAGTGTAACCCAAAGTGTAATTTGTACACAAAAGTGAAAACAGCTGAAATAGACCATGCAATAACCAATCAGAGTGCATACAAACATATTTGGCCTTATTTTGTGGCTCACTAGGGGTAACAGTGTGATTCCTACAATCCTACAGCCTAGCCATAGAAATGTACATAAACATGTTAATCTAAAGGAAAGTGGTAAAAAAAAGTGTGAGAGTATAATTTTTTTTATTATGTATTTTCATATGCTTTGTATTTCAGCAAGCACTAATGCTTTGATGTCATTTATCTCTGGAAACAAACAGCCAAGAGTTACTGTCAAACTCTCTGTTCCTAAAAAAGAGCAAAAGGATTTGATTGAGTAAGTCATATACATGTACAAATATTATCTTAAATATTTAAACAATATTTTTTTTTACCTAAATATAAATCTTCACATGTGGGGAAGCTATCAAGTTAGCTTATGGGATCTATCAGGATGAAATAAGAAAGTTCAATATGAGAAATGTAAATATGACCTTAGCATTGTCTCTTTGGCGCAAAACCAATCCTACCCCTTTTTCTGACCCCACAAAATATATATGTATATATATGTATGGTCACCTTAGTGCAGTAACGGGCTAACTCCTATTAAATATAACTGGAATTAACCGGTTACTGCACTAAGGTGACAATACATATATTTATCAACATTTACTGTAAAGACTATGCAGCTAATCAAAACTTTGTCATGCTTACTTACATGAACACCTTCCTACAACTTTAGCCAATAGATTAAAGAATTAAAAAAGGCACAAAAAGGCTCTTTAATACCTAGATGCTATATATACATTCTACCATTTGAATTACACAATGATTATTCCCTAACCACATTTTAGATTTTAATTCTATTATTTACAGTACATTGCCGGATACATTGATTGGAAACTTATCATTGCTACAGATGTACAGTTATTATAGACAAATATTGGCAGACACTTTACTGAGAGATAGGCTTGATCTGGAATCAGCAGGTACGATATATATTTATATAAGATATATGTATATACAAATGTATATACAATATATGGTTATATACAGTATATATTTATATATACAGTATGTATATTATACAAATATGAACTTTTTAGCTGGTGAATATGATGTGATATGTACTAAAAAATTAATATTGACTGAGGCGATAGCCGAGATTATTTCGTTTCTTGAAATATCCGAAGGTGGCCATGATTCGTTACCCCTAACTTGGTCTAAGCATTTTCAAAGTGCTAGTTTTAAGATTATATTTTTTAATGGTCCAAGTGTTCTATGTTGAAGAAATTTTACAGATACATTAATTTTCCTTTGATGTTTAAAAATATCCAATTTTCTTTCGTAAGGAACATTTGTTGAGACTTTGTGATAAATGCACAGTTACAATATGTCCTTTAGTTTCATTAAGTTACATTTAACTATTATATTTTACAGAGATTATACACAGTCCATGGTTGGCAACCTTTCCAATAATAGCTGATCAGCATGATATGATGAAATTACTCAGGGTTTGTATTCTTCTTTTATTAAATGTTTTTATGGGGGGCTTCAGTGGCCAAGAGGTTGAAGGTATTGACTTCAAAGCACTTGCCCCTCACCACTGTGGATTCAAAACCTGACAAGGACTTTGGATTCTTCCATGGGAGGAAGCCAACCGGCTAGCTTACGGAATGCTGATGGTTCTACTCATATGACCTATACTGTGTAGAGTGCCGTTAGAAGAATAATTTTAAGGTTGAACAAGCGCTGGTTAAGGCAAATTAAAAGCTACTATCTCTGCTAGTGTCCATGGAGTTAAGGCCTCAGTATATAAAATATTAACTTGATTTGAATTGTGTACAATAAAACTGACTGTGCTTTTCACCTGATTTTGATAATACATGTATTATAATGGATAGAGGAAATTTGTGAGATGAAATTTTATTTCATTGCATGAGGTTCAAAAACAGTATTCTCACAAGTGGCATAAATGGTATATACAGAATTTATTTTACTAGTTTGATTGTGTTGGAAGACATAAGCTTATAGACACACATTTAGATCGGTTCCTGCAACCAACCAGTACTTAGCAGTGGGTGTAAAGTTTCTTGCTCAAGGAAACAACAACTTGCCTCTGATGGGGTTTGAACCCATGCGGCTGGCGATCATTAGATTACTAGTCTGACGTGTTAGCCACTCTAGCCATGAGTGGTGTAATTCTGGTATTTCGTAATGTTTCTATATTTAATTACAGGACTCTTGGATAGAAAAGTTGAAGGGGATACGTAGAGCTGATATGGTATGTAACATGATTACTTTAAACTTTAGAAAACTTTATTGATGTTGCTTGGTTTAATAGATAAAACTAGTGCTTGTTTTAAAACTTCATAACTATAATAATGGTCTGAGCTAAAGTTAAATATTTCCTA